CCCCCCCCCCCCCCCCCCCCCCCCCCCGACCAATGAACGGGATACTTAACCACCACATACCATCAAAACAGCGCTACAAGAAAAGAGGCTCCACATTGCACCCCTCCTCCTGCTCGCAATGCCGCATTGGATCTTTATGTAGGATGCTTTTGCCGTAGGGTCCAAACTGATGTGATCAACAAACATGATGGCATACGTCAATCTCAGCCATACTGAAAGGAAGGCCAAAGACAGGCTCAGGAACAATTCCGATATCAAAACTAAAGAGGCAGGCGAAGAAGAAGAAGAAGAGGAGGGGGAGGAGCAGGAGGAGGATTTAAACCACGCCCTTCACTCAGAGTCTCAGACTACTTTCCCTTCCTCTCCCCACAACAGACACCCTGGGAGGTAGGTGGGGCTGAGAGAGCTCTGACAGAAACTGCTCCTGAGAGAATAGCTCTGAGAAAACCTGTGACTGACCCAAGGTCACCCGGCTTCATTATGCTGTATGCTGATTTACTGCTCACCCTCTACTTATATGTATAGACTGCTAACTTCCATTTCATTGTATCTGAAGAAGTGTGTGTGCATCCAAAACCTTTATTTATTTAATTAATTAATCTATTTATTTATTTATTAAATGGGGGGGCAAACAGTGGGAGGGCTTCTAGTGTCCTGGCCCCATTGGTGGACCTCCTGATGGCACCTGGTATTTTTGGCCCCTGTGTGACACAGAGTGTTGAACTGGATGGGCCACTGGCCTGATCCAACATTGGCTTCTCTTGTGTTCTTATGTCTGGTGCTCTGTAGTCTTGGTGCTTGGGGGGGGGGCAACAGTGGGAGGGCTTCTAGTGTCCTCCTGGCCCCACTGCCGGACCTCCTGATGCCACCTGGTATTTTTGTCCACTGTGTGACCCAGAGTGTTGGACTGGATTGGCCATTGGCCTGGTCCAACATTGGCTTCTCTTATGTTCTGATGTCTGGGGCAAATGATGCTCTGTCTTCTTGGTGCTTGGGGGGTGGGGTCAACAGTGGGAGGGCTTCTAGTGTCCTGGCCCCACGGCTGGACCTCCTGATGGCCCCTGGTATTTTGGGCCCCTGTGTGACACAGAGTGTTGGACTGGGTGGGCCTTTGGCCTGGCCCAACATTGGCTTCTCTCATGTTCTTATGTTCTAGGCTGCCCTCCCCTGTGAGCAGGGCTCAGGGTGGCTTACAACAGAGATACACAATAAATATGTAAGTAAAAAAAATTAAATGCAGCAAAAGAAAGACAATAGAAAGCAACAGTCCTTAGTCACACTGATCAGTTCCAAGAAGGCTAGCAGTCAGAATTCCTGGTTTAGCAGATAGACCTCCCGGAAGAAACTTGTAAAAGAGGGGAGGGGGAGACATAAAGGGTAAGAGGCCTATGCGCGTGCCGGGTCACATAACTCTGCCATCGCTGTCCTGAACCGAAAGATTATACCTGGAATAAAACTCTGTTGGTCTTAAAGGTGCCACTGGACTCAGAACTTTTTTCACCTAAATACTACTCTCTGTGAGCATTTGAGTTCTCCAGAACTGGTTGATGAAAAAAGATTTAATGGGGGGGGGGAGTATAAGAAATAAAATGTTTCAGGTCACAGCCATGTAGCCGTTTATCTGCTCTTGTTTGGAACATCCTGCTTCTTCTCTCTGTGTCACAGCTTGGGGAACTCCTACGAGATAATGACTCAGCCCTACCCCACCTTTCCGAGTAGATATAAATTACCTGCCTGCCATTTTCCTTCTCACCTTGACCCAGAGAGTCCTCCATCTTTCTGTGTTATACCTCTGAGGATGCCAACCGCAGCTGCTGGCGAAACGTCAGGTCCTACAATGCCAAGACCGCGGCCACACAGCCCGGAAAAATCTACAACAACTAGTGAACTCCGGCTGTGAAGCCTTCGACAACTTAGTGACTGTATTATTGTAATGTCTGGAGCCATTCTGTAACAACATGGTTTGACCACTGAGGAAGGCCTGTGGACCAAAACGCATTTGGTCAGGGTCAATAATGGTCTGTCTTTGGGATTAGCGTATGATTTTTTTTTCTGAACTGAGGCTATTTTTTGGGCCTATATTTGTTTTTTTTTATTGAATTTGTAATAAGTAAATGGATATTTTCTTATATTTGGTAATATTTGTGCTTCAAGTTTAGACACAGATTTATTGGGCCCTTATATTCTGATTTCCTTAACCAACTCCTCCTCCTCTGCCGGAAGAGCAGGTCCAAGGGATCCAAGTCAATGAATTCAGCGATCTGGGAAGGGAAAAATCTGAAGACTCCGGTTCCGACCACAGCTTCATATTCTCTATTCGTTTCTCTCTCTCAGGCGCTCCAGAGAAGGCAAAGCCCCCACAGATCCGCTCTCCAAACGACCTCGTTGTCTACGAACTCCCAGCAGGTAAGACTCTGCAAGGAGGCGTCCATCTTCTGCATTCAGAAATCCACAAATCTCGTTTCCTTTTTTGGAACCACGCGGCTGCTTTGGGTTCGGTCATGGTCTGAACTCGTCTGTGGTGGCAGCTGAGAACCTCCGGTATCGGCGCAGCAGCGGGGAGAAGAGAACGGCTGAAGTTTGAGAGGGTCTGGCCTTGTGTGTAGCCCCTGTGATTTCCTTTTGGCTCTTGCTAAGTTTCTGAGTCACCTGGGAGGGTGGCCGGCAGCTGCTCCCGAGCTGGGCCGGGCCGAGGTTTTTTTGTGCCCTGGGAGGGGCTACCTTCTGGCCCCCCCTGCTGGTGCCCAATTACGGGGTTACCAACCTCCAGGCGGGGCCTGGAGAGAAGGAAGTCCCCGATCTGCTGCAGCCGGTGGCAGGCTCTTGGCCCAGGAATTCAGTGCCTCTGCTGCCGTGGGCCAGCCCAAGTACCCATCCAGGCGGCTTGTGGGGAGCCGCTGGGATCCCCCTCCTCCCCTGACGGCCAGTCAGCAGGCCCCTGCAGCCACGCACGCCGCTCTCTTCCCTTCCCTGTGCTGCCTGGCGCCGAGGGGGCCCAGGAGGCGGAGAGCGAGGTGAGCGGAGGGGTGGCGCGTTGGAGGTGGCCGGGCGGCTTGGGGCTGCCGGTGGCGGGCCAGTCGTCGTCCTTGTCTCGCCGGGGGTCTGCGACGACTGGCTCTCCAGGGGAGGCTCTTCCCCACCTGCACCCGAGGATACCAGCGGGAGGGGGGCTCTCGAGGAGGCCAGCAGGGAGTCAGGCCAGGGCAGCCTTGTCTGCGCGGACTGGCAGCAGCTCCCGGAGTCCTTCCCGGCACCTGCTGGCTGGCAGGGCCGGCCGGCCGGGGCCAGAACGCACCCCATCCAGGGCCCACCGCCCTATCCAGGACCCGGCGCTCTAGGCGAATGCCTAGTTCACCTAGCAGGTGAGCCAGCCCTGCTCCCGAGAGAATGTTTTCATTCACACCCTCCTGAGTTCTTCCCTAGAAAGCTGACTTGTTTTCTTCCAGGCGCAAAGTCTCTCAGTCAGGGGTCATTTCGTAGAAAAAGAGGTGCAGGAGCTCATTAGCATAACTCCTTCGCATAACTTATTTGCATATGCCACACCCCCTGACATCACAGGAAGTGTGTCAGAAGGCAACACCCACCGCTCAGGCTCCACTGGACTGTTTTGGATTGCTAGCTATCGGG